CCGGTTATCTCCCTGGCCCAGAGAAGGGCGCCCCCCCAGCCCCGACACCCGCAGGCTGAGCTTTCTGCTCCTGCTCTTCTCGGCTGCAAAGGCCTAGCCTAAGCACCTGCAACAGCAACCCGAATTCAAGGCCTGGGTCGGGGCTGCACACCGTGCCCCTGTGCTGCAGACTCCTGGTCAGGCCAGCAAAGGCTACGGGGAGCTCCCAGTCAGGAGCACACGGTGCCGGGAAGGGCCAGAGAGTGCCCTGCAAGGCCAGAGGGAACAGATGCAAGGACGTGGCACCGCAGCTCCAGGCGAAAGAAAGCGAAGCGGAACTTTGCACCGTTCCTGTGTTTTCCTCCTCCGCCCCGATCTCATTTCCTTTTGCACGGTGCCTTTCGGACTGTAAATCTGAGGGCCAGGACGGCCTTGTGGTCGTTGTTCTTCCTGAGAGGCTTCGGGGGCCTTTTCTATGGAGGAGGAATGACAAACAGGGGCAAAGCTATCAGCCAACCACCCCATCCACCCGTGAAACCGGTCAGTCACGATCCAAGAACACGCCAAGCGAGAGCTTCGATTTTGGGGCGGTGTGCAAGTGCATTCAAAAGATAAATGAATGCACAGACACGAGCGCAGCGTTCCCAGCGCCCCTCCAAGGAGGCTGGGAAGGTGGCGCCAGTCCGCACCCTTGTTGCCCGGTGCGCAGAGGCAGAGCGCCTCGGGATGGGGACGAGGGACGCCCGTGGCGGCTTTGGCGCCCACGAACGCAGCAGAGACACTGCGACCCTTTGGGGGTCGAGGAGACGAGTCTGGGAAGGGGCTTCGTCCGAGCGCGCCGCGCTAGCACACGTCCCGGAATGAGGATGCGGGAGAGAAACGCGCGCCTGCAGTGGCCAAGCTCTGAAATAGCGCGCACTCAAGGAAAAAGAGCCACGGCAGGCCGGGGGACAACGGCCAGGAGATGCCTCGGCAGGGCAAGGCCTTTGCTCAAATCACCCCGTTACTCCCACCGACGAGAGGCGGAGGCGCCACGCTCTTTGCATCTCAGTTGCTGGGTGGGGAATCCCGATGGCTGGCAGACAGACCCAAACCAAGGGCTGGCCCCCCACGAGGATCATCTGACCCATGGGGCACCCCACCGGTCCTGGGAAACAGTTGGCCCATGCTTCTTTTGAGGAGTCAGCCCAGGGACCCTTCGGTCCGGTGTTCAGTGCATGCCAGGCCACCCAAAGGATGCTCCAGGGATGCACGAGTGGAACCTTTTCCCTGCACGGGAGCTCTGATCCCGCAGGAAGCCCAGTGCGAGCCGCTGCAGGACCTCCTCTGCCAGGAGAACTGGCCAGGGAGGTCCTTTCTCCTTCCTGATTTTGATCCTGTGATCAGCAAGCCTCTCCTTTTATTCCACCACTGCTAAGGGTCTTTGGGGATGAATCAGCCAAAAGCCTTTTGGAAGTCCAAGTAAACAATGCCTCCCCGGACCGCAAGCTTCCTGACATTCCCAAAGAACTCGGGAAGGGTTGTGATGACACGTTTTCCTGCGCAGAAGCTGCGTGGATTCCTCTTTGGCAAGGCTTTTCCTTCCGATTTTATCTCCAACGATGCTTTCGACATATTTACCAGAACGGGCATTATACTAACCGGCCTGCAACTGCCCCGGCCGCCAGCATGGAGGGACTCGAGCGAGGGATTAAAAAGGCTCTTGTCTGGAGAAGCTGGTTCTCCAACGACAGCGGGCACTCTTTCAAGCTTCACAGGACCGAGCCCGGAGAGATAAGAGTCGTGTGAGAACCGGAACTGTGCTTGCGTGCCGAATATGGTGTCAGCTGCTCCAAAGGGGACGGCCAGGCTCCCGGCGAAGGGGCCTCCGGATGTTTGGGCCTCTGACCTTCCACAGCCCCCTGCCCGGCACAGCAACCCTGGGAGCGGCCATCCAGCGTCCCGCGAAGGCAGGCAGGAACGAGGGAAGAGGAAAAGGGGGGATTCTCTCCCACACCCAGCGTGTCCATGCGCATCTGTGCGGCAGCAAGAAGGGACGGACTGGGAAGGGGCCCAACGGACCGTTTCTGAGGCCCCGGCTTTGTGGAGCAATTCCCTGCCCGAAGCACCGGGAAAGCCTCCGGGAATTATGCCCACAAGAGGACGCCTTTCTGAGATGCTGAAGCGAAAGTGCCATCCACCGGGTGTCAGCGAAGGCGGGCCAAACATTCTCGCCGGAGCTCCGGGATCCTCCTGGAAGTGCCCTAAGACACAATGCGCTTGAAACGCCCACGCCTGCGCCCTGCTCCACCCTGGCGCCCCGCAAATGCGCGGGGCTGCAACTCCATTAATGCCCCCCCAGTTTGTTCGCGGGCCGTTCGGCTCAGCAGGCACATCGCCACCCTTGCTAGCCCCCTTTCCCCTATGTCAGCGTTTAGACTGCAATCTGCTTGGGGCAGGGAACTGTCCTTGTGCAGGCCGGAAAGTGTCGGGACCCCCAGGGACAGCATGAATTTCTATTACTTCACCCATAAATTCTCTTTCCATTTGCATCCGACGATTTCTGATCGAAAGAGAAATATTTGTTAGCTTAGGAGCTACGATCTTGGCATTAAGAACAACACAATGCCCAAGATCTGCAAAGACCCCCGAAAGCTGAGCAAACCACAGAAGACCGAAAGCCATTTCTGGCACTGGAAGAAAGATGCCTGCTTTGGAGAGACCCCACCCCCACCCGAGTGCCCGAAATACAACCCCCAAAAGATGAGGGCTATGTGGCTTGGGGGGAAGTGGCTAGTGCCAAACTCCGGCAAAATCGAGCCGTCACCGCAAACGTGTGGCTTTGCAACCGCCCAGGCTTCGTTGGGGCAGATGGGAGTGGGTGGCTTGGGGGAAACGGCACTGGGTCGGAAAGAAGCTGCTCCGAGCGGGGGCACCAGCAGCCATGCTGCCTGTAGAGAAGAGAGTCCCTCCCGTAACGGAGAAGTGAGCTTTCCTGACTTGGTGCGCTGGCGAGTTATTCCCGAGCAGTTCCCGCAGATACCTGATAGCAGAAGCAACGCGAGCGAGCTCCCCCCCCACCGAGGTTTACACCCATGGCTGGCCGAAGGAAGCAGAACCCTGGGGAGGTGACCACAAGCAAGAAGGGAACAAGAGCTACCTGTGATCCCGGCAAGGGTGTGCACCAGAGTTTGGTCACAACACAGGAAACCGCACTGGCTCTTATCAGGCCAAGCCGATACACACCAGGAAGAAAACAGCAGCGCAAGCGTTCGGGGCAGGAGAATGCAAACCGCCACGGTTCAGGCCTGTGGGTTTGACGACAATTTGAGTCATGCCCACAACCAGCCGGTGCAGGAGACGGACTCCCAAAGACTCACCTGCAGCGGTTACCCACCCACCCTGCTGACGTGCGGTCCAACTGGCAGATGCCCTGGGGCGGCTTACGAGCAAGAAACAAAATCCCCAAACAATGCTGTGTCAATTAGAGCAAAAACGGCACAAGACTTTACCGTCTTTAAAACACTGAACAGCCAGGAATCAAGTTAACAATCAGAGCAACAAAGGAAAGATTAAAGGTACAATCCTATTCAGGTTCGGGCAGAAATAATTCCTACAGCTCCCAGCATTGCCCAGGGGAAACGGGGCTTTTCTGCCCAAACATGCAGAGGATTATACCCTAAATGCCTGCTGGGAAAAGATCTCAAGCCAGCACCTACAAGTGAAGATAAAGGAGAGGAGAGGGTCTGTTTAGAGACAACCCACCACCCCAGTACAGATAACGGTGCCCCAAGAGACCAGCAGAACAATCTTGCCAACGCAGCAGGAACAGAAGGGCTTCCCTTCAGGAAAAGTCACTAGCCCACACAATTGTGAATTTCTGTATTTTCCCCACGCCGCCAAAAGCTCTCGACTGTTTGCGCACGCCAATCCTGCGGAGAAGTGAGGCCAAAAGGCAGAGAGCGGTCTGACTTCAGCGAGGGACCGGAGGCCAGCGAAAGGCCTGCTCGGCTAAATGGGGCTAGCCTTGAATGAGCGCCGCCGGCCGGGACAGGAAAGGTGCCGCGCACGTTCCCAGCCGCCTCCGGAAAACGGGAATTGCCTGGCGGCGAGTCGTGATGAGCCAGCCGCCGTTCTGCAGGGTGTCTCGGGCAGGGAACCCCCTTTCCCCTCCCCTGCTCCCCAGTGCTTTAACTGGCCGCGCTGGGGACGGAGCGCTGCCCCACCGTGGAAGTCACAAAGGGAATCCACCAGCCACTGCCCCCAGGAAGGCAGGGCAAGGGGCGGCCGGGGCCACCCTGGCCGGGGCCCTCACGGGGGCCGGGCGAGGGGCTCCTCCGGCCAGCTGTGGCTGAAGCGCTTGGAGGGCTGGCGGTGCCCCAGGGAAGGAGCCCGGCCAGCCCGGGCAGGGACTCTGCGCTGGCGACGGGGAGGCTGCTCTGGGGGCATTCGCGCCGAAGGGAACAGAGGAGCCTGGAGAAGGCCACCGGCGAGCGTGCAAGCTCGTTTCCAGGGGAAAATTCCTCTCCACGGAGCCCGGCCAGAATTCCCCTTTACTTCCAGACTTCCAGCCGAGTGGAGCCCTTCCAAAAGCCATTTCCACCCCCGCCCCGCCCCGCCTCTCCTCGGTCCTCCGGCGGGCACCTTTCGGGGAAGCGCAGCACACCAGAGCGCCCCCTCCCCGCCCGACCCCGACCCCGCCGCGAGAGCGCTTGGGGCGCGCCGCCCAGGAACGAGGAGGCCCCGGCCCGAGGCGGCTTCTCGGCACAGCACGGGGAAAGCGGGGCCGGCCGGGGGGGGGCCAGCAATTAAAAGGGCGGCCGGGGGGGCGGCGGGCGGCGAGCCGCCGCTGGGGCCGGGAGGAAAAGCCGGAGGCCGCTTTGGGCACCGGCCGCGCGGCGGCGGAGCGGCAGCCCGGGCGCCGACAAATACGCGCCGGGGCCGAAGGGCCGCTTCCGCCTGCTGGTCGGGGCAGAGCGCTCGCCCGTCGCGGCTGGGGATGATGGGCCCGGCCGGGCTCCGCTGCGGGGCGCGGCACTCACAGCTGGTTGATGGCGTTCTGCGAGATGACGGCGTCGTCGGAGAAGTAGGGGATCATGGCGGGCAGGAGCGGGGCCCGGCGGCGGCGGCGGCCCGGGGGGCAGGCCGGGGCGGAGGCGGGGCGGCCGCCGCAGCCACC